GGTTCGAGCCCTGGTCCGGGAAGATCCCACATGCCGTGGAGCAACTAAGCCCGTGCGCCACAAAGACTGAGCCTTTACTCTACAGCCTGTGAGCCAGAACTACTGAGCCCGTGTGCTGCAACTACTGAAGCTCTCGCGCCTGGAGCCCATGCTCTGCAACAAGAGAAGCCACCGTAATGAGAAAGCCATGCACCGCAACAAAGAGTAGCCCCCACTCACTGTAACTAGAGAAAACCTGTGCATAGCAACAAAGACCCAATGCAGCCAAAAATAAATAAATAAAATTAAATTAAAAAAAGAAGCACTGCTCTAGGGAGCACAAACCTATCCCACCCTTTAAAGCCCCCAATGCAAGGCAGGATGGGGACAAAGAATAAAGGGAAATCGCTTGGCATCTCTATACCCTTCAAGCCCCCTCGGGCAGCAAACTCCCACTCTTCTTCAATGGGCAGCCGTTTCCCCCGCCAAGCACAGTAGGCACGGGCATCATTCCAGCTCATGTGTACCACTGGGAGCTCCAGTTTCTCTCGGATGCCAGAGCCGGGACCTGCAGGCTGATAGCCAGGATGAAGTGAGACAAGCTTCTGGGAGCCCGTGGAAGTCTAAGGAAGGCTAGGCTTAGGGTGCCTGAGTTCAGCTTTTACCACAGATGGAGCAAGGAAGTGGGAAGAGAGAGCCTGGTGAGTGAGGAGAGGTCCAGAGTCAGAAAGAAGGACTAAACATGAGACGAAAGGGAGAAATGGGACGGGCCAGGGGTAAAAGGATTAGGGCAGAGAAAACAGGGTGGCTTGGCTGCTTCCCTGAAATTTCTCTGTCATCCTTTTAAACTCAGTATTTCTAGATGGGCAAGGGTCTAGGGAAGCCAGGCCTCCCAAGAGTCAACAGGGGGAGAAAACAAAGTAGAGGAACCAACGCTTACCTGCCTCCAGAACGCCCTTTCCACTGGAAGCCACCAGAGGAGAGACTGCAAAAAGAAAGGAGCATGACTAAAAAGATGCTCTGACCCAGCGAGGGCACCTTCCTGACTGACACCCAGGAGGCAAAGCAGAGCCTTCAGGCTGAGACTCAGGTGGTCCAAGTGAGGCTGTGTCCAAAATCTCACCACCCGTATTGGAGGGAGGCTTCTCAAGAGGTTCTCTTGCTGGTCCAGGGAGTATCTTGAATGCTGTGTGTGTCTGCATCTTTACCGAGTCTCTCTATACAGAAACCAGCACGGGGTGAACTTCCTGGGAGTGTGTGTTCATCTGACTCTTCCAGGGTGGGTCTCTCTTGCTTCCTCCCTGCCTCTGGTTCTCAGGTTGGATTCTCTACTGTGGCCCAGGGGACCCCAGATCCCACAGGATTCTCTGTCTAGGTCCCACTCCCATCCCCTCAGCTGCAAACCTAGGTTCTCTTACCTGCATTTTCTGGGTTGCTTTGTTTCTAAGCTCATCAGAGACAAGGTCCTCGAAGACAAAGCTCCACCCAAACACCTCAGCCTCTGTCTGGTACTTTTTCTCCCTGACAAACTCCCTGAAAAGAGATGTTTCATACGGTTTAGCTAATAGGGTTCTGTGCTCCACCCTCACCCTCTCCTGTTCCAGAAAACCTCATACACCCTTATCCTATTAGTCACACATCACAGAATTTTCATGAACTACAAGGAATTCACCTGAGAGCCTGAGCAGATTTTCTTTTAAAATCTGTTGCTGTGTGTGCAGTTCACAAACAGGAGAATTCACTCTTTTTGGTGTATAGTTTTGTGAGTTGTGACATGGCACGTAGTCACTATCACAATCAATATACAGAGCAGTTCCATCAACCACCCCCCAAAATTCCCCTATGCCTCTGCAACCACTGATCTGTTGTTTGTCTCTATAGTTTTGCCTTTCCCAGAATATAAATTCACATAAATTGAATGATACAGTAGTATGTAGTTTTGGGGGTCTGGCTTCTTTCACTTAACATACTGCTTCCAAGATTCATCCCTGTTCCTTTTTTATTTTTTTTTGCAGTTTGTTGCCTTTCATTGCTGAGTAGTATTTCACTGGATGTATAGGCCATATTTTGTTTATCCATTCACCAGTTGCAGGTCATCTGGGTTACCTCCAGTTTTTGGAGATAATGAATAAAGCTGCTGAGAAGATTCAAGAGTAGGAATGGGTCTCTCTTCAGAAAGGTCTTCGTCACATACCTAATGTCACAACAATCACAGGAGGGAGGCAGAACAGGGGTTATTATCTCCCTCAAACAGATGAGGGAGATTGAGTCAAACAAAAATGACTTGCCGAGATTTTAGAATGGATTTTCATATAGTTTGGTGTGGCTGAGCAAATTTCAGCAAAAGCAGATTTCCAAGGTAAGATGGATTGTTTTCACTGGGCTAAGTGTACTCCATCTGTGCCAGACCTCTGATATGAGAAGACATTGTTCACCCACCAAAGGGACACTGAGAATGGAGGAGGAGATGAGATTTGGTAGCAACAGCTATTTATCGACCTCTGACCACCTGAACGGTTTGAGACTCTTACCAGAGAGGCGAAGACAGATTATGGGTTCTAAGCAAAGTTTAGGGGCTTACTGGAGGTGACATTATATTTCCATAATATAAAGAGTCAATTTAAAATATAAAAGAATGCATCTAGGGCTTCCCTGGTGGCGCAGTGGTTAAGAATCCTCCTGCCAATAAAGGGGACACAGGTTCGAGCCCTGGTCCGGGAGGATCTCACATGCTGCGGAGCAACTAATCCCGTGTGCCACAACTACTGAGCCTGCGCTCTAGAGCCCGCAAGCCACAACTACTGAAAACCGCGCGCCTAGAGCCTGTGCTCCGCAACAAGAAAAGCCACCGCAATGAGAAGCCTACGCAATGAAGAGTAGCTCCCGCTGGCCACAACTAGAGAAAGTCTACACGCAGCAACGAAGACCCAACACAGTCAAAAATAAATAAATTAAATTAAATTAAAAAAAATAAGAATGCATCTACCTAGCTAGCTATTTCTGGTTGTCACGATGCGGTGCAAGCCTGATCAGAAGTGATTTCTCCTTCGATTTTAATAACTTTCCTGTTTAAAAATATTTTTTTAAAAGCATATATAACATCATATTATAGAAAAACAAGGAAACAGAGGTAGGTAAAAAGAAAAAAACTAAAATCATCCATTATCACACCAACTAAGATATACCTGTCCATATTCTCTCCCCCTTCACCCCACAGCCAAGGATTTTTAAATAGCTTTCGGAAGGTGCTTCCTGTAATTATTTTCCTTTGGAAGTCACAAAAACATGAGCAGAATCCGTCACCTAATGCCATGTTGCATCTTCCAGGTCTTTCTTAACGCATATACATTCTATACATATAGTTTTCAAAAATGGGATCATACCCTATTTAGTATTTTGTAACCTACTTTCTTCACTTAACACTTCAGAACTATCTCTTTTTGACAACAGGATTTTTAAGGGCTGCTAAGTAGTCTGTATATTGATACAATATGTTTAAGTGATCCTAAAATTGTTAACATTTGTTTACAAGATGACACTGTAAATGTATTAGCGTTGTATCAATAGCTAAATGTTTTTTAGCTAAATGTTTCTGGACAACTTTTAATTCTTCGAGACAAATCCCTAGAGGTGGAAGCAATGAGTCAAAAGGCCTGAGGAGTATATTGACAATCTTTATGCTTATTTCAGCCTGTGTCTTCTGAATCAAATTTTCCCCAAAACTTTTTACCCTGAAAAGTTTTAAGTCCACAAATGTAACATGTAAGTCATTTCTCACATTTGCTTATTGTCTTCCCATCCCCTCCTCTTCCTTTCCCTCTCCTCCCTTTATACTCCCTCCTCTACCATTTGAAGGTAAGTTATAGATATGTCCTGGATCATTTTCTACTTTAACCTACCCAAAACATATCACCTTGGGGACACTGACGCAGCTCAACATGGCTTCTTAGATTAAGCTCGAACCAAAATGTTTGATTCTGGAAACAATGCCATTTCCCTAAGTAAATGTAAAGGGAATTTAAGGGACTCTCAGCTACTATGACCCTTCTCCCAATTCCTTCTCCCCTGTTGCAGAGGTTTCTGTTGAGTGTCTGACTTCTGTCCATATTTCTCAGTGCTATGCCCAGTGCACTGGACAATCCACTGGCTCAAGAGTCAGAGGATCTGAGTTCCAGGCTCAGCTCTGCCACTAACAGAAACTTTGGACTTCAGATATATATATATATTTTTTTAAATTTTGGCTGCGTTGGGTCTTCGTTGCTGCATGCGGGCTTTCTCTAGTTGCGGTGAGCAGGGGCTACTCTTCGT